TTAACAGTAAAAGCCCCTTGACAAAAAATATATTCATTTCCATGTAATACCCCATTCTCTGGTCTTAATGTGGACGCGCTGTTGGGTTTGAACTCCAAAAAACGTCATTAATTATAAAGAATGCATACCTGTACAGTTTCCGGGGCAATCACAGATGTATGGTTGATAGGAGTTCTGCAGCTGAGGWRTGCATACCAWYRCATCTGASATGCAAGGATTTTCAGAGCATATGTTCTAAGATAAATATAAACACAAGCATCACTAACTAAATAATACCTTTAAGATATTCGTATCAGTGATATGCCTATTGTCTGGTTGCATTTGTGAAAACAATAGGGCGAAGCATGGTTTATTGATCCGCCGTTTTCGGATTCATGTCGTTAAATCTTCGCACTTCATTCGTCAAATACGAAGGCTCACTAACCCACCCACACTGACACTGGTGAAACACGCACTGCGCATCCGTTGGGAGAAAAAAACAAACAAATGCATTTTCAAAGATTATTTTTGCTTTGTATAAACAAAAGTTTTTTTGTATAAATCAGCAGTGTATCTTAATTGAAATTATCTCGCTATTGCGAAAAGGACAACCTTAAGTTTTCAGTATTTTTCTTAAGTTTTGCGATTTTGTAAAACAATCAAAACACCGGCATCAAAAATATAAGTTGCCCTTAGTTACACTACGCCATCTCCGAGCGTGCGCAGTGCGTGTTTCACCAGTGTCACCCACAATAAGTCGATTTTAGCTACCCTCAACACGACTAATATAACCTTGGAATCTCAGTGTCGGTTACTTAAAATGTTTACATTTCCTTGCCAATGAAATAAACCATATTAAGACGCAGTATTCGAGTATGAGTTTACTGTTACTAGATCTATGAATCAGAGGAACCATGAGTGTTGTTTGAATTGTTTATAGTTTCTTGGCAACGAAAAGCCTATAAGATGCCGTATTCGAGTATGAGTTTACTGTTACTAGATCTATGAATCAGAGGAACCATGAGTGTTGTTTGAATTGTTTATAGTTTCTTGGCAACGAATAAACTATAAGATGCCGTATTCAAGTATGAGTTTATTGTTACTAGATCTATGAATCAGAGTAATCATGAGTGTTGTTTGGGAACGAAAAACCTATAAGATGCCGTACTCGAGTATGAGTTTACTGCTACTAGATCTATGAATCACTAGAAACATGCTCTAGCCATGATTGTCATTCGAATTGTTTATAGTTTCTTGACAACAAATAAACTATAAGATGCCGTATTCAAGTTGGAGTTTATTCTTACTAGATCTATGAATCACTTGAACCATGAGTGTCATTCGAATTGTTCATAGTATAGCATAGTTCATATTTGACTTCTTTTTTCCATTCATAATCTGTTTGCTTTGTTTTCTTGGGTTATCGGTCGATTTTATATTTATTTTTTGTCGGAAAAAAGACTATTATATTATTATTTTTCCTTTCTTAAAAGACCGAAATGTTGTTAATGATAAAATCGAAAAAAAATTATCATTCAAAATCATAGAAGATGTATACAGTGGAAAGAATTGAGAATAAAAAGAAAAGCTTGACGGTATAAAAGATTGAGAGAGAATAGTTGCATGCCAAACAGGGTGCAGAATCACGAGTGACCATGTAAGTGAGAATTAAACGAGTTATATTTTGAGTGAAGTAGTTTTTAACTAATGATAATTTTCAAATATTTGGACAAATGAAAAGTTATTTCAGGTCAATAAAAATTTGATATTCCACTATTCCTTCCTTTCCAAGTTTAAAGAAGTGTCATCACCACTAAGACTATATGGTTGTAACCATTCGTTTGAATTATTTCTAAATGTTAATGATATTAATTTTTTAAAGTCTATTTTGAAACTTTNATCGCTGAAATTCATACCCTGTTCCAGAGCAAGATCGCTTAAAACCATACCCTGTTCCGGTATTGCGAAAATAAATACCCTATTCCAGATAGGGGAGGCGTGATTTCATATACCCTGTTCCAGAGCGAGCGTGATTTTATATACCCTGTTCCAGAGTAGAATCGCTGAAAACCATACCCTGTTTGGTGGTACGTACCCGTATAGCGAATATAGGGTAGTACCCCCCGGGTTAGCTTTCGTTCAGATCAATCGAAAGATTTATGTTTTACCTAAAAAACATTCAAAGCTATAAAAATGCATACCTTTACAGTTTCCGGGGCAATCACAGATGTATGGTTGATATGAGTTCTTCAGTTGAGGTGTGCATACCAAACCATCGAACATGCAAGGATTTTTGGAGCATATGTTCTAATATAAACATCCACACAATAATTATTAATATTATGTGTCTTTTTTTAAAATATTTTTCTTTGTTTGTACTGTCCCAGGTTGGTTTTTCTTTTTTACACACAGAGAAAATAAACGTATAAGTTCGAAAAATTTCCAAGGATAATGACAAATGTATAAAAAAAATAAAAAAAAAAAAAAAAAAAAAAAAAATAGAATAAGAAGATTTCGAATAAATAAAGCATAAAATAAATCATTGAGTGAAAAAAGTCGCGAAACAGTGTTCAGTATCATAAATGAAGAAATATTGATATGGATTTTATAAAATAAAATCTGTGTCTGTGTGGATATATATCCATATATCAATATATGAAGTAGTATATGTGAAAGAAAAACCTTCAAACATCGTTTTTGTCAGGTGAAACGATGTTGAAAGTTGAGAAAATAGCTTCATTTATTATTTACGATTTCTACGAAGAAGTCGCATCGCCGAGATTTTTGTTCAGTGTAAGTTAGAAAATCCCTGAATTTTGTTTTCCTGTCTTCTCTTTTAATTTATTTTATTATTTATTTATTAATTTATTTGTGTTTGTTTTTTCTTTATAGCCTTTAGTTACGGTTTTGATTTTTCTAAATTATTTTCCTTGTATTGAAACCTGCTTTCTGAAGTTTTGTGCCTTAAAACTCGCTTAATYAATTTGCAATTAACCATGTTACCTACCTCCATTCGCATGAAGAAGAACTTCTCTTTCTTAGTAAGGAAGTTCCGATAGTCTGTTCCTCCATAGTTCAGTAGTTCACACAGTACTTTCCCAGTACTAWTTGCCTCGGATCCAATATTTACTGACAAACATACTGTGTTCATCACACAGAAACTTGCACATTCTATGTCGCTGTCAACCTCGAGTGCCGAGATAAGCGAGCCTGCCTTTGTCAAAACCGACCCGTTGATTCTTTTATGRAAGTTGCCATACGTGAATGGGCCTTGTTTGCCCACACGTAAGGAAACATCCACCGTACAAGACGTAATCTCGAACAGGACGAAAAAGAAATAGAAGAGTTGGAGAACTTGAATTAGTCCTGTTGCTTCCATCATGACAGCTGCTGTGAGACTAACTTCCGGGATTGTTTTTTTTACATTACAAAGTATTTTTGAAAGTTCAGGCAATTAGCAAAAGAGAAGACAGAAATTTGCATATATTCGTTTATAATTTCAAATGCATTTATTTAATATTAATAGCTAACAATTTTTGGCAATGTAGATGAAAGATCAAATATTCAAAACTCTACAACCGTGTCTCTTTTTCCCCGACGCATTCTATATTTCTAGAGGAAGTAATCAATGATTTCCCGTTTCAAAATATTCTAGTTTTTCCAATAATTTCATATTGATAGAACATAAATACACCCAACTTTCAAATCAAATTTCATTTTAAATTATATTATATAGATTATCACGAGAGAAAAAACAAAACAAAACAAAAAAACCCGATACTTATCATAAAGACATTAGTGTGTTACTAAGGAATACGTCACTTGTATTTTTCACACAAACTACATCCGGGACCTCAGTGACATATTTTCCATCTTGTTGCTAAGGAAGATATCGATGACGTATTTTCCGATGTTTCTCAATTTTCCACTTTAAATCAACGTATCAGTGCGTGGCAGGTTGCAAGGGATTAGCTGTAGATATAACTATGGGGCGAGTCTCTCCCCTGGTATATGTACGTGTTTTTATTTAGCGAACATATTTCCTCAACATTAATTAAGTCTTTATTTGATGCTAAAAATCAAACTCCACAAATGGTAGCATGTATATGCAGAGATTTAACACGCCTACTTGTCTGTACGTGAAGGGTAGGGGAGCTTGCATGAAATCTCAAAAGTATAAGACTATAAAAAGACGTGTGGCTTTTGTTGAATGAAAACACATCCAATATGGCATGCCAGATAAAATCGATATAAAGTAGTTAAAAATTACCACTAAGATAATTGTAAGAACATTGTTTTCTCTTTAGCAGAGCTTCCGCGCGGGCCCGAGCTCCCGAGCGGAACACCATACTTAAGAAAAAAATGGTAAACCATCGAGTTGATTTTTCATGGCTTGGCTGACGTCACTTCCGTTCGTCCGTACGTCCGTCCGTCCGTGTACACCACACAGGAATCCCGCTTGATGTCTAAGTAAAACTAATCAGAAATGCGGCTATGCACAGAAAAAATCGCTTTAGGACAAGTTATAGACCACAAACAATTAAAAATAAACTTTCATGTAGTCAAAGATGAATCAAGAAGTGTTCTTTAAGAATTCAGGTGTGTGTTTTTTAGCAAACAATCGTATATTATTATTTTTTTAACAAGCATTTTTCTCGACGAATCGACAAATCAAAGACTTTCTCTCAACACTTTTTATATTTCTATAGATAAGCTTAATTTATTTTAATGCTGGAGGAAAATTGACACGGAGAACATATTACGACAACAAATATTCGTCCTTTATTTAGCTTTGTAAATCTTTAACAATTCGGTTGTTTTTAACCAACTATCGTATGTTTTTCGTTCAAGAAAAATGCAGCTTTGTTCACCTCCTATCGCGGGGTCACATCGGCAAGACAAAGAAGACTTTCATTTAATAATTTTATATCTTTCTACAGATAATTTATTCAATTATTGAATGAAATATAAATTTGCACCAAATATTCAACTGTTTATTAAGCTGTTCGAGCAAGTATGATTATAAAAATGAGCTTAAAATTGTGTTGTTGCGATATGTTATTGTATAAAGACCTAGCCTTTCACTTTAAAGACCCATTGCCACTTAACGTCATGCATCACAATTTGTTTACATTTTGAATCGTGTCTCCACTGAAAAAACAATTCCAACATTTTGAATAAACTCTTAAATAGTCCCTAAAGCCATAAAATAATGTAAAAGAATCATAACTGTGCCTTAGTGCTATGTCGGAAAAGGATTCAATATGAAGTTATTATTCAACATATGAATCTTTGAATTTCATGGACCACGAAATTCATCTGTGACCGCGGTGCATCACGATAAGTGGCAATGGGTCTTTAAAAAGCTAAAACATATTCAAAAACATTTACAAACGCCAATTTACTGACAAAGAAATTCGTCATTTTGTATTTTGCATTGCCTTTTGCATTATTTTTTATTTTGTCTCAGTTGTAAGGTAAACTCATTTTCTTCCCTTAACCAGTTTTCAAGTCTGTTTTTTTAGTCTTGATTTGTCCTAAATCTCCAGATTTTCGATTTCAATGAAAGACATGCGAAGTAAATTTCACTAAACTTGATATTGTAATGGATTATCTGTAGTTATCTTTCGTCTTTTTTTAAGAAGTTTCCTAAAACTGTCGGCCTTGGAAAACTTTGTCGAAGAATCTTCCAAGAACAAAACTAGCCCCTGGGGGTGGTGCTGAGTTTAGTACAAAATTCCTAAGTGGGAGAGTATACTCGCGCAAAATAAAGAACAAAAAACAAACAAAACAAAACAAAACAATGTAGTGCATTTCGATTCGATTTCACTCCTGCATGGTTTTTATTATGGGAGAAATTATCTTCATCTCGAATAAAAGCTAATTGAAGATTTTTTCCCCGATCTTATTATTACCTTTCAGTTTCATTCAAATTGTTCACCCTGTGACTTCCGTATCGGGAGCTCCGCTTTTAGGCAGTGCCTAAATATATATATTACCTGGTAATTGATGCTTTCAAGACTAATGTTTTTGTTTAAACGACAAAAATGTTTTAATAAAAGTTGTAAACAAATGATTGTTTGTGCACTTAACGACTAGACGGTTTGTTTGGCCTACTGATAGAATATTAAATAAGGCAAAGAAATG